AGGTAAGATAAACATATTTTTTAATGCACTTGCGTAGTGTTTTGGCTCAACGCAGGCGTTATTACAATTATCTAGGAATATCATCAGCTTGTAGTCAAAACTATCAGTTCCATCCTTATATTTGTCAGTTTCCTTATAAAGCCTTATGAGGGATTCCAGTTGCCTATTCTTGAGTTGAGGGCGATCTTCCCCAGCACGATCATTAAGAGGAAATGAAGTAGCCGATAGTTGCTTGTCAATGTCATCATCATGTTTTTCCAATTGTTCAAATATTTTAGCCTCATTATCTTCATATCTGTTCTTGCTATTTTCTCTCTTTAAATCATTTGTATTGCATAGCGTCTCTTTACTCTTTTGTTTTGAGCCGTTGTAATTGGGGTCGTACGGATTGCAAATGCTGCCAATATTAAAGCAGGCACCAGATATAGGATTTGCCCAGGAGTCGTATTCTTCCTTCGACCAATCGTGATACTTTTCGATTTCGAGCGGTTCCATAAGTTGCTTCGCAATGCTACCTTTTCCTTTATCATGAACTCTAACCATAAAAACACCATGTTCGATCAGATACTTTCGCAGGGTTGATTTAGTTACACTATCGATTCGTGTGAAGTCTTATTCTGTCCATCCTTCGAAGCAATTAGTATAAAGCTCCCAGAACTCCCAGTCGCGGAAGTTATGTATGTTCCATGCATCTATTAGATCGCAGATGTACTCAGCAAGTTCTGTGGGGGTAGCCTTGGATGGTTCCTCAATCATCGAGGGCGGAAGTTTGGGAGTCATATTGTCGTCTTTATCGAGAAGTTGACCGGTTGGTGTATTCTCAAAAAGATGTGGTGGTTGCGTAATGGACGCGTGAAATGTTCCTTGGATTAGGACGTATCTGATCCAATTCCGACTTCGAGGCTTGACACGTAGTCAGGGTTGACTTGCGTTCCTTCGCTGTATACCTTGCGAATCTGTGAACCGTGTATGCGGATTCACTGATCAGTGTCGGTATATCATGGGTATTAAATGTGCTAGCACAATAGGTTCTGAATTTCCGAGGGGTTAGTTGTTCTTCTCTATTCTCTATCTAAGCTATCTAGTGAGTTACCCTATGTAGATGCCAAGGCGCTAGTGCAACCAATACGCGTATATGAGGGCCTACACTTCAGACCAATCAGAGGGATCCAAACACTACTGCTACTTAGTGGGTGATATGATTGTCTCTAAATAACCATATTTTCCGACAGTTTCGCTGATACGAAGAGTTTATTGTGGACTCGAACGTCTTTCATCTGTACTGCGGGCGTATTGAGTCCAGTACGGGTAACTGTCGCCCAGGTAGGTTTGGCCAGAGTCACCTTGATCTGGATCGCTTTTTGTAGCAGCTCTTGCTGCTTTTCAATTGTTTGTTCCACGATCTTTCCGCCATGATTCTGGCAGTTTGGTCGAGGGGGGAGGTTGGGAAGGACTGTTCCTGGTCCCGACATCATTAATTGAGCTATTGCAGCTTGAAGGTAGACTTTCATGGAGTCTATAAATTGAACGCTCGACCCTTTGGATAGAGGTGAGAGCGCATTATCCACACCATTGATAGTAGCGGTGCATATTGTGAGATTATTTGTGGTCTGGACCGCTCGCTGTTCTTCGGCTTCAAGTATGGCTCAAAGCTTGGGAGGACAGGTCGCAGTTTTCTTGGAGGTACTATCGCTGCAAGAAGTTTGATTGTTACCAATTTCCCTCGGAATGGTATTCTGAGGGGTTGTGGTTGACGCGGCTCCGTCGGCTTTTTTCGCGTCAAAATTAGATGTCCGCTTCATGGCCAGCACAGCAATCTTCCTTGTGTTTATATTTACGGGGGTCTCTGAGGTATGACCGTCTTCGGGCTCCTGTATATTCGACCGCGAGCTCTCAAGACCCTCTATAATATACTAGCTGATGGCTGCATCAGCCATCTCAGCGTCTGGGTTTGTGGAGTTCGAGTCTTCTTCGAAGGCTCTTATCCTCTCGGCCATGTCCAATTCCATCATTTGCCCGTCTATCGAGCTCAATGGTATTCTTTTGTGTTCTAAGTGCTTTTTCAGTTTGGTATTCATTCGGTCCACAATTATTTTGTGGCGAATAGGTCGCGATGATTTGGCAGGCCCCGGAGACATGTTGGAGATCCGGGGTCTTGCTACTGTGAGAGTTCTAATTAGTATCAATGTATGTGAGTCGGAGGGGAATGATAATGGTAACAGGGTATCTAATCGATTCTTTCACGAATATTCAGGAATTTTAGCACTGGTCATATGTCGTAGCTTTAAAGCCGCATACACATTTAATGATTTAAAAAAAAAGTGCAAATATAATCCAAGGCATGAGTGTTCCAATTTTAAATTGAGTCGTTTGTTCTGTACTTTTTCTCTGATATTTTGTTATGGCTATATAGCTGCATATGCAATTAAAATTTTATGCAAAAAAAGCAGATCCATATCCAAGAAAAAGACGAGAGTTTATGGGTAGATAGATTTCTCGGAATGAGGATTGAAGATAGAATTGGGGGCGTCTGTAAGTATGAGATACCTTTCTCGCATGGTAGCGCACGTCTTTCTAGTTGGTGACGGGATCATGAAAGTCTTGCCTCCCACTCGGCGACTCTTGTTGCCCATGCATTTCTGGCCTTTTGCGAACCCCATTAAATTCATACAGGCTATCTCGCCATAACACCACTCTACAATGATATTGGGAAACAGTGTTAGAAGTTAGAATAATTGGGTGAATCGAGAAGACCACGTCGTTTATACAAGCGTGTCTACCAACCATGTACTTAGTTTCACACGGTAGTTACTTTAACGAGCGCATTTTGGAGAGTTTGCTGTGGCCGCAGAAGATCTTTGCTAACCGCTGAGCTGCTGATTCTGATAGAATAGTTTTGTTTTGTTCATTTACGTGCCAGGTAAAGTGACTACTATTGCACTCCTTCTGGAGCTTAAGCACGGGTGGGGCCGGGCCGGATCAGGTTAACTACCGTAAAGTACAAGTGCCTCGTCCCACCTAAATGACCGGACCACCTCAGACTTCACCCATGTGTTGAATCATGTCAAGCCCAACCGCCCAGAGAACCCCCTTTTGCCATGCCGAAGCGCAAATTCCTCCTCAGCCTCGGCCACCACGCGCCCGAGCCCTTGACACCCTCGCGATCTGTAACTTTTCCCTTCCATTCAGTCCCAGCGTTGGATCATCTCAGCATCTCCTCGTCTCATCCAGGGGTCGTTTTCTTCACTGGAGGCCTCATCCAGTCGCCCACAAAGGCCTTCTCAGTTTGTGTTCCCTTTTGATCCTTCATGTAGCATCCCTCTATCCTTCAGCTGATCTCGTCATCCCAGAAACTTTGTAGAATGTCCACCCCTCCGGCCTTGCCCCGTCGCTGCCATACACCTAACCGTGGAGGTCGAAGATGTGACTGAGAGCTCAAGACCGAGGCACCGGTGCCCCAGCCTTTGTCGAATGCTCTAGTTGTCGTGCTAGCGAAATGTCGTACGTATTCCGTCGGTGGTGATTCGTCGCAGGTCGAGTTGTTGGTGCCCTTGGCCGAGGTGAGGACGCATTTAAGGCCGCTGTTTCGACCGTACCTTCACAGTGACTGGAATTTGCGTAGAGTCGGACATCCTCTTGCTTCTTTGTTGGCGATTTGGCTTTTGGAGGTATGAGATTGCTTCGCTAGGTTGTGAGATGATTGTGGAGAGGGCCGCGAGACAAGTTTGGCTGAGAATGATTTTCCAGAGAAATAGAAAAAAGATCATGAAGGTGTCGGTTGTTGTAATACGAACATCAGTCAGGCTATAGGCTGTCTGCGGTTCGTATCTGGTGTGTAGATGGTTGATTTCGTTGAGTTGTGCAGTCGTGAAATCTCTGCAAGTCGGATTTTCGACCAAAAATGAGCCAACACCACTCCTCCCGATCGCCAACTCGACGAAAACTTTCAAGTTCACCCTTTGTCGTGACTGAATCTCGGCTCTGGGAGAATATTTCACTCCCAGATTTGTAGAGGACACCACTAACAGGTTTTCAGCCTTCGTCCTCCTGTAGAATAGTTTTTCGATGGAATAGAGACGTTTAGCCGAGCAGGCGCGTTAAGTGCATTCCCGAGGGCTCAAAGGCCGGGCCCTGTCCGTGAGCCTACTAGGCGATAAATGAAAGATCACTCACTCACTCTTGCCTGAAAGAGGGCGCTCACAACCTCGATAGCTTGGGGTTCATTACTTCCTCGAGAAATAGGAAAGTTCTCAATGGGAGGATAGAAAATTCAACAAAATGCATGTGACTGTGTGCTTCCCACATCCAAACATTCCTAGGTTATGTTTTGGCCTAAGTCAAAATTATGCTAGGATTCTGCAAGCTTATCAGGCTTGGGAGATGTAGCTGGCCCAAAACACTGTGTTCGTTCATGGAGCCGCTCGCCATTGGACAGTCGCGCGCGAAGGCGTCTCGGGAACCGCTCCAAGGTAAAGATGGCGCATCTATACCGCACAAAGATTTCTTCATGCTTGCCCTAATCACATCCCTTTGCTCATGCACTCCATCAATTCCTTGTGTGTAATGCTCATTTAATGCAGACTTGACTTGTGGCTCATCGATAGTGAGTATGTCATATCATGCATTGAAGATGGAATATCCAGATGACATGAATTGAATATCTATTCAGTTGAAGCAAATAATTTGACCCAAGCAGAAGAGACATAAGACTCGCTAGTTAGCTAGTGGATTGAGGCATAAAGCGGGACCTTCTCAATGTAAAAACTAGCCGCACATGTTCATATATTCATCTCCCTCAATACAAATATTTTACACCATCAAGGCAGTTATACGTTCCCACATAACAGACTAACCTCAATATTCTGGCCATCTTAGGTGACTGCTGATACTAACCTCTGAATCTCTTCCTAACATTGAACTGATCCCGAACCAATTCTACCTGCCAATATCGACCGCTACTTTCACCTGAGTCCGACCGTTTTCGAACTGTCGCAAAGAACATGGACAATATACTGCCGCTCCCATTCATCCCTGCTGTGGATCTTAACACCTTGCGCTCAGAGGCCCATGTGGGCATAACGGCACAGCAGCTGGCCTGCCTAGGTTGTGCCTACATAACGGCTACTAGTAGTAATATTGATGACATATTCGAATTCTTCAAGAAATATCGGCGTCTTGTGCTCTGCCTAGATGTGAGGGAAATTATCTCGACAGCGGATATTACATCATTCCTAGATGCGGGGATAACACGCGTTTTTGTCACTGCATCGCAGGCTACCGCGTTGAAGGCTTACTCGGAAAGATTAGTCCTAATACAAGACGACAGGCATCTGAGTGATTCTGAATATAGCACCAATGGCATTCTTATAGAGTTTCCCACAGATGCGGCGGAGTCGGAAATTAAACATCGTATTGTGGCGGCCGCTCAAGCTTCCCCAATCTACATCACGAGACCCGAATCAAATATAAGTTCTTATGTTTCACTTTGGAAGGAGTACTCTGTTATCCCAATTATACCAACGTCGAACCTTACGGTCGGCCCTCTTGATATACCGGGCAAGATTTCAGTATCCAAGTACTTGGCTCAGTGCTGGAATTCTGATAGAGAAGATCATCTTATGCCTACTATTGTGACAGATTCACGAGGAATCTCCCTTGGGCTAGTGTACAGCAGTGAAGAGAGTCTCCGGGAGTCGCTGAGGACTGGTACCGGAGTATATCAGAGTCGAAAGAGAGGTCTTTGGTACAAAGGGGCTACATCTGGCAATACCCAGACACTTATCCAGATATCCCTGGACTGTGACCAAGACTGCTTGAAATTTGTAGTCGAACAGAATGGCAAAGGTACTAGTTGATATTCCGTGGACTCGGAAATTTCGTTCACTGACGCTTTAGGTTTCTGTCACCTGCCACAATCCACATGTTTTGGAAACCTGCAAGGACTCTCTAAGCTCGAGCAAACACTCGTGGCACGGAAAAGCTCTGCGCCTGAAGGTTCATATACGGCCCGGCTCTTCTCCGACGAGAAGCTTTTGCGGGCCAAGATCATGGAGGAGGCAGAAGAACTATGCGATGCAGAGAGCCGAGAAGCCATTGCCTTTGAGGCGGCAGATTTAATTTACTTTGCCTTGGCGAAGGCAGTGGGGGCTGGCGTTACTCTAGCCGATATTGAGCAGAATCTCGACTCTAAGAGTCTCAAAGTTAAGAGGAGACAGGGTGATGCCAAAGGTAAATGGGCCGCGCGCGAAGGAATCGCTATAAACACTGTAAACACTGAAGCGAGAGAGCAGTGTCCTAGTTGAGGCAGATATTGCATAAAAAGTGCCCACCGTGAAGCAATTGCCCATGGGTATGTGAATCAAACAGCGCATCAAGGTGTCAATCAGTATTTGTTCAGACTCTCCGATAGCGCCGCTACCTTAGGATAATCTTGTTCGGAATTTTAGAGGAGTATTTCATCGCTGCGTGAAGAATAGATGTGAATGGAAAATCGGTACGGGCTCCATGAGTAAGACGGCTCAAAGAATATATGCGCGATTTATGAATAGAACAATATCCATATGAACCGGGAGAGTATGTGAAGAACTGTGGAAATAGAAGTGCCTGATAGAATGAATTGAATTAATTATTCTGTATCAGTGATTCCTAGACAGTTTACATACATGTATTCTCAGCAATCTAATTCAAAGTCAGGTACCATCTACTGGCCCTCGTTATATGTTCTAACAATGACAATGAAACGCACGATAGAATACAACATGAGTATGGGATCAGGGTCAGTAGACGAAAGTTTATATCATGAGTATCAAACCATACCATGCACTAGTCGAGTCTCTCGCAACAAACAAGCTCAATGAAGGAGATGTCTATAATCTCCGTCGTGAATCATGTGTGAGAATCTTACTTGTTCGAATCGTAGAAAAACTTCAGAAACATATAAAATACCCGTTAGTTTGACCAACTAATAGATTATCACTTTCCGATGTCCTCTCGAAATGTCACTTCGGCAGCACCATCGACGACTCCGCGGCGTTATAGCAAATGCATGGAGCTACTCCATGTACCTTGTGAAATAAAAAGATACCCTCATACTCCACTCTAATACTATTTATCTAGTAATAATTACAATAGAATGGGGTTTCGGGCACAGAAGGTCCAACAATTGTCTCTTCAATCTATATTTCATCAAAGAGCAGTGCATATCGGTGATTAAGACAGTTGCCGGCAAAGACGAATTCTTCACCTTCCAGTGGTGCTGGTATTATCGTTCATTAAGCTCTGCATATCTGGGATAGCCCAAAAGAATCGCATCCGAATCGAAGTCGAAAGTAACCTCAAGCATATCTCCATTTGACGGCTTCTCGGTAATACCTTTCTAACCACATATCATCTCGCCTCAACGACCAATAAAGGCGTCACCCCAATTGCAAACAGGAGCATGCCTCATTCATTACCGGCCATCTCCCACTACAAATTTACGGCGCTACGTATACCCGCAAAGAGGAAATCAAGTCGAAAAATTTAAAGCCTGGGTCCCGGCTTACAGAGGACTGTTGCTCAGATGGGACAATCAACTTGAGGGAGAACAGCCGGCTGGGATGTGGAGCGAGAGGGGGATTAGGTCTCTGAAGACCATGCTGTGGCCGATATTTTCGAGTGTTTTTCAACTTTGGAATGCTTGTGGGCGCCAAGAACACGGTTTCGGCCAAATAGCTGGGAGAACTTCAAATTTCAATGAGTCAACGGCACTCCCCAGAGCCCTGGACGGCACAAAAGAAGTTGGGCTAAGCTACCATTCTACAACCACTATATATCAAAAGATTTCTGAAAATCTATTACGACCTTCGGAAGAGTTGTAAGGAGGCTAGAAAGGCAGAGGGTGAACTTCCCAAGGTACCCACAAGTCTACAGCGTCCAGCTGGCCGGCCTCTTCGAACGCTTCAGAAGAATCACTATGTCTTCGGATTTAGTCCTAATGTCGGTATTAGGAGAGCCCTGCACCCGGTGGTCTTTGCAATTTTTCCCAGCTACCATACACCCGCAAATGGCCATCGCTTCGTTGGCTGGAGAGGGGAGATGATGAAGGGCCAAGGGCTCCTCTATGTTTATGATCGAATGAGGACTTCTGAGGGCTGGTGCTGTTTGAGGGGAGCTGTATGTGAGGTATAGGAGGGGATATACTACTGGCATAAGTATCATTGGCTTGTAGGCAGAGAGGACCTGCATGTTCTACTTAGTCATAGTCTTAGACAGGATAATAAAATGAAAGAAAAGAAAACTGCAACCACCGACAACTTATCTAGCCAAATTCATACCCACCAACCTAAAACGATGCTCGTTAGATAATTCTCCAATTAGTAAACAGACCGATGCCAAACCTTACCCACCAAAATAATGCAGATCGCCGGGACTCTCTTCTTGCGATAAAGGAACAAAGTCTTTGCAATAGGCCAAAAAAGATACACATTAACGTTGTCCGGACTTCCTAAAATATATTCGAGCTTGTTTTTGAATCATATCTAGTTATCCACGAGGTAGGCATGGTGAGTAATATCTGTCGAGTGACCTAATGACTTTATGATCGTTCATGTATTACCTTAGAAATTATTACTAATTATATTGATGAGTAATGATTCATCCATTTTTTTCTTTTTTTTGTATTCTTTTATTGTCATTTGAACTCTATGACTATGTAAGGACATGTATATCATTTCTGCCTACAGGCCGAGAGCATCTATGCCTCCTTCACGACTTCTTTCCAGCAGTAATACCCCCACAGGTCTTCATTAAATTATACACTAAGAGGAGCCGTTATCCCATCATTATCTTCATTCTCCAGCCAACGAAACGATGGCTATTTGCTAGCGTGTAGCTGCAGGGAAAAGTTTCAAATACCACTGGGTGCGGGGCTCTCCTATGACGAAGAGGCTGGCCAGCCGGGCGCAGCAGACCTGTATATACCTGGGAGCGTCTCTCAACCTTCCTAGCCTCCTCCTTACTCCTCCCCTGATTCATGCCGCAGCACATACCGAAGGTCGTGAAAAGATGTCAGAAAAGTCTTTGTCGAGAGTGATTGTCGTGAAGGTGCCTAGTCTAGCATCCAAAAGTCGTTATGGATGTGGGGTTATCAAGTAACTCATGTATTTCAGATGCCCTCCTGGCTAGTAGATTCAGAAGTGTAGATCAGAAGAGACAATATAATAGACAAGTCGAAATCTACTTTTCTTGAGGGCGGAAAGGTCTTTTACTTTGCTTTCGTGGGCTCTTTGTTCGCGTGCCAGTGGGTAGCTTATGTTGTGATATAACTAGGGCTTCCCTGACCACCGTTGTAGCGTTTGGTACCGCATTATCTTTCCTCATTCCCAGCATCATTATCATCGTCTTGGTCGTCTTATGTGTTATCGGAAGTGTATCTTTGACGGAGGGGGGGATAACTCAGCTCAAAGTTGATAAGATGTTACTCAATCTCGGCTCTGTAGACTCTACAGTGAAAGCTGGAGGTTCGTAGGAGACACCACTGACAGGTGTTGAGAATAGTTCCCCATTCAACAATTTATGAATGTTGTTAGGAGAGAGGAATAACTACTATATACATATATGAGTGTGTGCGTTTATTGCACTATTTGAGTCATAGACTGTCCAGTACATTGAGCTCCTCTCTGGCCTAGGCCACACCTTGCACAGTGCTCCTTGCCTCTTTGGTTACTTGTAAGATCATTGATATATTGCCCTTGATGAATAGTCATTCGACTCATAATGTATCCATGGAATTCGGCCACCTTTTCCATGGAGCTGTCTGCCCAAGAATAATGAAAATTAGAGCAATGGAAACTGCGTGCGCGGGAAAAAGTCTCAAAGAACCTGCAGCATCAGTCATGCGAGGCCTAGATCCAGGGCCACACGAGGTGCGCATATTCATCTATATCTCCCCTTTTTGTAACATTCGAGGCCAACTTTATCCAATTCACTATCTCCGTTTTGGGTGCTGGGTATGCTCTGGAAACTCATCGGATGGCTTTTCCTCCATAATCAAGGGTGAATGATGAGCGGGACTTCGACTCTACCGTTTCATCTGATAGTAGTTAGCTTTATCATGATGGTAGGAGGGTTGCACTGAGAAATAAAGACGATACAGACTACGAATACGATTGGGAATCCTCATCAAAGTGAAGGAGGTGTTACACGATCTCGGCTCAGCAGGCTCTATAGTGAGAGCTAGAGGTTCATAGGGTACACTACTGACAGGTGTTAGGAAGTATCCCCCCTAAGTTTAGATATTTACAGAAAATAGTCAAACCTTCTCAGCGGGTACCGATCTGGGTGAGGTTTCAAAAACTTTAATTATTCAAGCACATTTTCGGCATACATGCATAACAGCATCGTGAAGAATTTAGTCGAAGTTTACCGGGTTCTAACTGGCGATCTATTGTCTCGAGTGGAATATGAATCTAAGCTGTCCGGACTTTAATTGATAGAACGGCCCAGATAATGTACCACCCAGCCACGACGGCATTTTACTACCGCCATGAATCTTGTAATCGAAGTCTTGGCGCACAAAGCTCAACTTGTAAAGATCCTTGGCAAAGTTCAAAATTACAACCCTTTCAATATTATTTTTAACTTAAATATCATCTTGTTCAGTTATCCTAACACTTCTCAAGCTTATCCCTTAGATCTGTTTCTTAGACTCATGCGCCATGATCTTTGTTTTTCTGCAGCTATCTTTATTCTTGTAGGCGTATATTAAAAGGATAATTGAGGCTAGAGACCGAGTCGCCCAGTGTTATGGTCATTAAGACGATGCTGTACTAAATCATACTTGTAGACCTAATGTGGCTTTGATGGGAACCGATCTCTTTAAGTGTGAAAGATGGATGCTGTAAGTAATTTTGAATCATTGTCTTTGGGCCAACTTCGGCATCATAGGCTGCGAGTTAATTCGGCTACTTAGTGAATATTCCGCTCGCAATTTTGTAGATACTGCTCACAGGATTCAGTCTTAGTCTTACTAGGAATGGTCCTGTAGAGCACGACCCTAACTCTATCTTTGGGATTCGGTTCGGAAAGTCATATGTCGCTGTTTAGTTTTTTATTGTTCATTAACGTGCTAGGTACATTTCACCCATCGCAATCCTACTAGAGCTTAATCACGAATGGTGCCGGGCCGGATCAGGTTATCTACCGTGCAGTACAAATGCCTCGTCCCACCTAAATGACCAGACCACCTCAGACTCCACCCATGTGTTGAATCATGTCAAGCCCAACCGTCCAGAGGACCCTATTTTGACGCGCCGAGGCGCAAATTCCTCCTCAGCCTCGACCACCGCGCGCCCGAGCCCTTGACATCCTCATTGACTCCGATTTATAAATTTCGTCCCAGATCTGATCGTTGCTCTAGCCTTGCGCCTTCATATCGTACCGTCGGGTTGTTGTCGAAATCGGAGATCTGTGTGATCTATTCGATGTATCTTAACTTTTCTTCCTCCTTTGTACACGTCCCCTTTCTATCATGACTTTTCTCATTAGGGCGTGTGTAGGTAAGTGATGTGACGAGTTTAGAGGTGGGTCGCAGCTATGGGATCGACAGAGAAATACTTTGTCGCAAATATATAAGGAGTTTGAGAGATATCGAATGATTGAATACGACCCCAGACAGAGCTGGGTCCATTCGTAAGTCGTGTGTCGGTGGTGATGAGTTTTCTTTCGACTGTCTGGCGGTTATGAAATGTCTGTTGAACTATTTTCCGACTAAAATACCAAGTACAACTCCTTCAAGCCGGGAATCCATCAAAAAAATTCATCCCACCCTTTTTCGTAACTGCATCTCAGCTCTGGGAGAATTTTTCACTCCCAGGTTCGTGGAAGATACCACTGACAGACGTTCAGCCCTCGCCATCCCCATTTGTCAATGTATTGTTTTGTTTTGTTCATTAACGTGCTAGGTTACATGTCTACCGTTGCACTCCTATTGGAGCTTGAGCACGTGTGGGGTTGGGCCGGATCAGGTTAACTACCGTGAAGTACAGATAAACCTCGTCCCACTTTAATGACCGGACCACCTCAGACTTCACCTATGTGTTGAATCATACCAAGCCTAACCGTCCAGAAACCCGCTGTATGCACGCCGTAGCGCGATTTCCTCCTCAGCCTTGGCCACCACGCGCCCGAGCCCTTGACATCCTCATTGACTTCGAAATATAAATGCCGTCCAAGATCTCATCGTTGCTCTAGCCTTGCACCTTCATATCGTACCGCTGGGTTGTTTTCGTCATTGGGGATTTGTGTAATCCCCTCGGTGTATCTTCCCTCTGCTTCCTTCTTTGTACACGTCCCGTTTCCATCATGACTTTCCTCATTAGGGCGTGTGTAGGTAGGTGATTGGACGGGTATGGAGGTAGGTCGCAGGTGTAGGATCGATTGAGAAATGCTTCGTCCCAAGTACAAAAGGAGTTTAAGAGATGTCGGATGTTTGAATACGACCTCCAGATGGACCTAGGCCCATTCGTGAATCGTATGTTGGTGGTGATGACTTTTTGTTCGACGTTGTTCCGGCTGTGAAATCTCTGCCGACTGGTTTTTCGACCAAAATATCGAGTGCAACTCCTTCAAGTCGAAAATCCATCAAAAAAATTCATCCCACCCATTTTCGTGACTGAATCTCGGCTCTGGGAGAATATTTCACTCCCAGGTTCGTAGAGGACACCACTGACAGGTGTTCAGCCTTCGTCCTCCCGTTTGTCAATGTAGATAGGTAGGTGGTAAATCTCCACGTGCAGGGGTCGGCAATATGACTAAGCGGGGTACCAAGCGCTATTGCCATCCTTGATTCATCAATGTTACCGGTAGGTCATACACAGCTAGTCACAGGGATTCAGTCTCCGCACTTTACTTCGGATGATGGAATCATCCGAGTTACTAGTGAAAATAATGTTGGCTTAATAGAGTTACATAGGGCTTAGCCCTGCGAGCGTTATTATTTTCTCAATCCATTACGTCTACAGGGAATATATAGCAGGGTAGTACCCCCTTTTAGAGTTAACCGTAAATCTACAACATAATTTTCGATCCTTATCTCCACGCGCCGCAAAGCTGTGTGTTGCAGAAAATCCCCAAAACCCCTATTTTTTCGGATATAAATACCTACGACTAAAAGTTGAACAAATAACATATTTCCAGCTCGGCTGATTTAGAAGTTCCAAGACTAGAATGAGGTGCATAAAGACGGCTACGGCGTCTCCAGAGACAGTCAGAGATGCCCTACAACGTCCGTCTCAGAAATCCATCGAGACTGTGATGGGGATTGTTACCCCAATCATAAAAGCTGTACGAGACGAGGGTGACGAAGCACTCTTACGCTACACCCACGAGTTCGAGAAAGCAACGTCTCTCGACTCGCCCGTTTTGAAGGCGCCCTTTCCGCCATGCTCAATGGAACTTGCCTCTGAGACTGCACAGGCAATTGACATCACCTTCGAAAATATTCGCAAATTCCATGCTGCCCAACAGGAATCACATCCATTACGGGTAGAGACTATGCCCGGAGTTATCTGCTCGAGGTTTTCCCGCCCGATTGAGCGCGTTGGTCTCTACGTACCAGGCGGAACTGCAGTTCTCCCTTCAACCGCCCTCATGTTAGGCGTCCCCGCCATGGTAGCCGGTTGTAAGACCATTATCATTGCAACCCCCCCACGTGCAGATGGATCTATTACCCCGGAAATTGTCTACATCGCACATAAAATAGGCGCCCAGGCGATCGTGCTAGCTGGTGGAGCACAAGCTGTGGCTGCTCTAGCCTACGGAACTCAGTCAATCTGTAAGGTTGATAAGATCCTTGGACCAGGTAATCAGTTCGTCACAGCAGCCAAGGTGTTTGTCTCCAACGATACAAATGCAGCTGTAAGTATCGATATGCCAGCTGGCCCCTCTGAGTTACTAGTTATTGCAGATCGGAAATCAAACCCTGCTTTTGTTGCATCCGATTTACTTTCTCAAGCCGAGCATGGTGTCGATAGCCAAGTCATTCTTATTGCTGTTGACCTTTCTGATGCGGAACTAACAGCTATTGAAGACCAATTGAGCGTACAAGCCAAGACTCTTCCGCGAGCTAAATTTATACATGGTAGTCTCGAGCATTCCGTTACTCTATCGGTTCGAGATATCGAAGAGGCAGTTACATTGAGCAATCAGTATGCGCCGGAACATCTAATTCTCCAAATTGAAAATGCCGAGCAAGTAGTTCCCCTTATCATGAATGCGGGCAGTATTTTCATTGGGGAATGGGCACCCGAGAGCGTGGGAGATTATTCGGCTGGTGTAAATCATTCATTACGTAAGTCATTGTGGCTCTTGCCGGTTAACAGAACTCTGATAAGTAACATGATTCTCTTTTCTAGCAACCTACGGCTATGCCAAACAATACTCAGGCGTCAGCCTAAGCTCATTCACCAAACATATCACTTCTTGCCAACTGACTGCCCAAGGTCTGCGAAATGTCGGTCCATCTGTAATGCAGCTGGCAAAGACTGAAGGGCTTGATGGTCATCGTCGTGCCGTAGAGCTTCGAATAGATTACCTCAACGAAAATGGATTATGAATAACTTCGCTGGTATCAAATCAACTAATTTAAGGGGTATCAAAGTAGCTGTATAAGAGATATTTATGAAAATCTTGGGATGCCTATACAGACTTATTTGACGATCCAGGTTAACTCCTCCGTTCGTAGAGTCTAAGGAAATCCTATCAAAAGCAGATCTAACCATCTAAGTCTGAGACAACAACTGATGAAAATTCATTGTACTCATCTATTTCTTTCTCAGATGCACCTGAGTAATATTTAGGTCTATTTAGTTACTTATTAGTGCCGCCCATTCAATCTCGCCCTATGAGGGTGAATGAATGATTGCTTCACGATCAACAATATGTATCACAGCAATATGTCAAAACTCAGTCTCTTCTGATTTTCCCTTGGCGTGGCATCGCACATACTAGCACTCTCTTCTTCTGCTTCTAGCCCTCTTCCCTCCAATGGATGGCCCTGACTTAGCCCTCCTACCCTACGACACTATATATCGAGTTAATTCTCAAACTTTTCGCTGCTAAATATCTTCTATGGTATTTTCGTGTGGCACACCAGACCTCCAATTAGATATCCCCTAGAAGCGGTAGCAAACTATTCTTAAGACAAGTTTAGCTGAAATAATCGCATTTCGACGTCTTGTATTCCTTCACTGAACTGGGCAAGTAAGAGGCCTTTCAGACCTCAAGGAGAGACGATCCATAAGAGCAACACTATTGGATGGAAAAAAGTTCGATGTCTCCAATTCGCAAGCGTTACGTTAAACATGTCAAGTGATATAAAAGAGAATGGGCTATTCTATGGACGCGACGTCTACACCTAGCAGCTCGGGGCTTCCTCTGTTCTGAGCTTTGATTTCAGTATCATATTGTGCAAATATAACCCATGCTTCTTAATGCGATAAGCTATCTGAAAAAATTTCAACGGGTGACGAAATCTTCGCGTCTTTTAAGGATGTCTGATATAAACCTCCAGCTCTCACTACAATATCTGCAGAACTAAGAATATATTACAGGCTATTCAGATAAAATTTTGGATATAATAAGCATAAAGCATTTCGCCCTACCTACGAGGGCTCAAGTATGTCGGGCTAAGCTACTACGCGGAAAATACGCACTGCCAAACTTTTTTTGAAATTTAGACGAGAGTGAGTGAGTGATGTGTTTATTGTACTATTTGAGTTATAGACTATCCAGTACATTGAGCTCCTCTCTGACCGAGGCTACACTTTGTACAGTGCTCCTATCCTCTTTTGTTACTTGAAAGATCATTGATATATTCCCCTTGATGAATAGCCATTCAGCTCAGTGTTTACCCCTGGAATTCAGTCACCTTTTCCACGGAACCTTCTACCCCAAAAAAAAAATGGTAGCAATGGAAACTGCGTGCGCGGGAAAAATTCTCAAAAAACCTGCAGCCCCAGCCAGGCGAGGCCTAGACACCGGGACCACATGAGGTGCGCATATTCATCTATATCTCCCTTCTTTGTAACATTCTAGGTCGAATTGATCCAATCTGCCATCTCCGTATCGGGTGCTGGGAACGCTCCGGAAACTCATCGGATGGCTTTTCCTCCATGATCAAGGGTTGGTGATGAGTAGGGCTCCGACCCTACCATCTGATCTGATCGTGGTTAGCTTCATGATAATGGTGATAGGGGAATGTGTTGAGAGATGAAGACGGTACAGACCGCGAAAGCGATTGGGAAACCCCGTTGAAGTGAGGACTTTGTTACTCAATCTCGGCTCTGCAGACTCTACAGTGAAAGCTGGAGGTTCGTAGGGGACACAACTGACAGGTGTTGAGAATAGTCCCCCTTTAGATCTCGATTTTAGGCCTCATATCTCTCTTTGCTTCAATATAATGTTCCGTGAGGTTTCCTGCCTAATGAACTCTACTACAGCTATATATCTCTCTGATATACGGGATATTTAAACTTGATAGATTTCGGCAACGCAGACGATAGTAGCTAATTTATACTTGGTGACAACCTTTTCTGGGCGATGAATTTAAATATTTACGTGTTACTTAGATTCATGTTCTGGGGATATGAAAATGATTTCTCGCATGACTCGGATAGGTCTTAATCGGTGCACAAAGTGTTTTACCCGAGCTGCCAGCTCATCGAATTCAGCCTTCAGGGCACCTACTACGCTTGGGAAGGAGACGCCTCAGATTACATTTCGCGCGGAGAAAATTCAGTGGATGATGGAGGCATGTCTGGATAACTAAGGGTTTTTGAAACGGTCCTCAGGGGTGGGTATTCACGGATAAGGGTTGACTTGGGGTGGAGAAAAAGCCACCATAACTTCGCAGTGGTACTTGCAAATGAAATCCGAGGCATGAGTGCTCTTCCTTTACGTTGAATGATCTATTCTGTCCTTTTCTTTGATATTGTGTCATAGCTAGATAGCTGCATACGCAATTATAATGTGATGCAAAAAATAAGAGGAAAGTAGGAGATTATTTCCAATCTGCCCCCGTCGCATTCTTGCTGACAGTGGAGCAGGTGTAGATTCGAGTGAAATAGGCAGCGAATCATCTAGACATGTAATGCATTTAGCCCTCTAGCATCCTCTTGAATTGAGAGTACTGCTATCTACGGTTTCCCCACTTACTAGAAGCTCAAAGAGGCCGCGAAGACTAGCCCATTCTACCGTAACGGCCTTTAAATTGTGGCTGAATGGTGCAGTGGAATACCATCTAGACTCGTCTCCAAAGTAAGCCCTCTACGGCCTGGACCCTAGCCCACTTGAGATAGGAGATGGCAGGTCTAAATCCCGCAGGCCACGACCAAATACACGATCGTGCTTGCATAATTTGATGATAAAAGAGCTTGAGACATCACTTGGGTGCATACTCAGGAGCGAGGGCCGACTGTTCTACGTAAACAAACTTGCATCGGCGGTCTTCACAAATGAAATGCAAAGCTTCGATGCCACTAGAGTTCAAAAGTCATGCACCATGCAGAACAAGCACTGTTCATGTGCCATGGGTGTATAGCTGAGGACATGTTCATAACAAGAAGCCACCTGGGACGCCTCCGCGCCCCCCCCGCCACAACCGCGTGCTCGGCGCAGATGGGAGTTCCAGGTGTGTTTTAGCAAGGCGTGGGCCCACCGCAACTTCATGCGGGTTTCTGTTTCATTACAGCCACAACGCGACACCGGTGTCGCGGAGGTAAATGAACCCCTCGCAACGGCTGTTTGTGGGTGGCATTAGGGGTCCTCCACAGACAGGGCTAAGATCCAAGCGTCAATCAACCGACCATGGCCGGCCAAATCGCTCAGCTTTATCCATAGCAGTTATCCCTAATTCTGGGCTTGATGATGGCCTGTAATTTGAAGATTTAAGTGGTAGACGCCATCAATTTAGATCTGTGAATCGTGAATAGTTGTGATTAGCACAGAATAAATAATGGGCTGCAGGTTTTTTGAGACTTTATCCGGCGCATGCAGTTTCCATTGCTACCATTGTTATCTTTTTGGTTAGAAGGTTCCGTGGAAAGGGTGGCCGAATTCCATGAGTAGACACTGAGCTGAATGACTATTCATCAAGGGCAGCATATCAGTGATCTTTCAAGTAACAAAAGAGGCAAGGAGCACTGTGCAAGGTGTAGCCTCGGTCAGAGAGGAGCCCAATATGCTAGATAGTTTTTGCCTCAAGTAGTTAAATAAACACACACACAGGATAGATAAGGGCAGTCTGGATGTAGACGGATGCAACATCATGTGAAAGAAGTCGAGTGCGCAATATCTATACGCATGTCTATACCTGTCCAACTTAGCCTATCCCACGCATGAGTATCAACATTAGTTTCTATTCCCCGCTATGTTTCTACAGATTGATAACAAGCTTCTCTAGTTGCTATTCCCTGGTGATTTAACGTGGAGAGAGTATTTAATTACCTCTACTTGGATTCGGGCAGAGGAGCAAAACTCGATTTTCAGTCGCATCTTCAGCGAACCTCTAGTCCTGGGAAAAGAGACATTCATCCTTTCATCTTTGAGTCGAGCTGTGTCTCGGAGACACAATCATTACGTGAGCAAACAAGAGCCTACAAATCCAGGGTCAAATGCGCGCTCTTTCTCGAGAATAGAAGGTTTCGACTCGTCAGCAGCATCGTCTTGCCTTCCTGGCTACCACTTTACTAGCAAGAGGGCCCTCCATGCCCTTGGTGATCTGCGGATGCTAGGCTAGACTTCTTGACGGTCTTTATTCAAAATTAAGGCTCTTCTCACATTCTATTCCGACCTTCGCTCGGATGACTAGCGAGGGGCACCAGAGATGAAGTGATAATAGCTCTTCTGCGTGTGTGTAATGGAATAAAGATAATGTGAAATATAATTTAAAAAATTCGAATAAAGATTGGGTCGTGAAACAGTTGTAATAAGGAGCACCATGTCCGAGGCAAAAAAGCCTCGAACTGTGTGCAGGAAGCAGGCGCATGTATCAACGAAGCCCAAGGATAGATAGGACAATAAAACCTCAAAGGGAAGTGGAGCAAGATACCTGTATAACCAGATGATCGCGGCAATGTGAGAGACAAGACTCCCAATTTATGCTAGGTCATTGGCATCTGATCAATGTGCGAGTAGCTAGGGGCCTGACAAGTATGAACTATAAAGACAAATAACGCCAGTGTCAAAAACCCACTGCACCGTCCAGCCTTGATGGTGCTCGAAGGAATTGCGAGGACGAGGATCGCGTTTCACTACGGGCGCAGATCCTGACAGACTAAGGTACCCCACATTCCTTGCCCCATGATATGGAAATGGAATCCGCGTGACCGTCTACGGAGTTACAGCTTTGCGCCTGTCAAGAGGTGAATCGAGATGTTCAGGACCCTATCACCCCTGGCTTTATCTCCCCTCCACCTAGCGACCTCGCTACGACGAAAGACCCGAATAAGGCGCAAGATGAATACCCAAGGCCCACACAGCCTCCGGCCCGGACTCGGCTCTCGGCTGGTGCAGCTGAGCTGATCAGCTGGCAGCGTGCAGTCTTCCGGAGGAACGCGGTCCTGATGGCGCACAGGCCAAGAGCTAGAAGGAACAAGCCGCGGTGGTAGCCTGCAAGCCTTGCTCCACCAGGCCCCAGCTTCACTGCCAAGGAAGCACGAGGTTGGCGTCGGAGGCGCTGATTGGCCTAGCCAAAATGCAGAAATCCTGTTCGCTGGAGGGAAACACAACTGGCTGGTTGGCACTGTGGTACAATGTTCGGGCTGGTCTCCCCAGCAGACCCTCGAGAACTTGGGCACCGATCCTACTCGAGATAGCAAATGGCTAGCCCCATCCCAGCAAAAGCTGACTTGGTTTGGCGCGGCGATGGGGGAAGATACAGCAACGACACGCTCACATTATCAACGGGGTAGCGAGTTGTTGGTGGACACCCACGCATGAATGTCGCTAACCTCGTGCCAACATACTTAACAAGAGGTGGTGGTTTCAGACTTAATACAAACTGTTGGTGCCCATCATATCACAGGATGAGTTAATTTTTGCACAAGACTATATCCCGTGATTTATCTGGATCGAAGTACTAAACGCTGAAATCTAAAAAGACGCAACCCTCAGCATGCTACCCAAGACCCCGAGGCTCCATCTAGACCTCTCAAGACCCTTCTGGGCTATCCTCACACCGAGCCGTGCGCATATTTGTGAGCGTCAAACATAGCCTCACTCTGCTGATAGGACCTTTTTCAATCCCTATCATCTAATTTACCTTTGATTTAACTATACTCCTTTCGTTTTTCCGATGCAAAGTGTGCCACGGACGGAGGGATGCGTATGAGAGAAGGATAGCGGGCCGAACATTCCGATAGAAGCATGAGCCTATCTATAGCGTCGACCTTGATCGTCCAAGCTGCATAATTGTGGATACAGCCTCGTTGATGCACAGCCAGCGCCTAGCCTTGCATTTTTGCCACCAAACATGGTGGCAAAAGTAGCGTGGGCCGCATGCAGCAATAAAAACCTTCTGTTTGTCCACCTGGCCTCTTTCGTCCCATTGATACTGAACCATTGTAGTGCTGCGTCTCAAGCGCAAATGAATCTCCACCCATCTGCGACGTCTACGAGGGGGGTCGCTTTTATCACGAGTGAGGGGAAAGTGGGGAAAATTTGCCCCTGGGCACGCTTTCATAGGTGCGTCTCTCTTGACGGGATATGAGATTTTGACCCGTAGCCTTCAATTTTCGTGCCAGCGTACAGCCTGTGAGCATGCTAGCCTTGTTACCGGCTATTTTGACCTGTAAGGCGAGATCTGCCGGCTGGGTTGCTTTGTTTTTAGATCTGGGGAACCGTAAGCGTAGATGGTTAGCTGAAGCATGACCTGGCTAGAGTTCAATGCGGTATTACCGAGAGGGCTGCGGTACGCTGCTAATGCCTTGCTCGAGTCAACTTGCAAGCAGACAGTCACGCTAAATTCGTAGCTCTTCCTTGATCTGTCTCTCCAGGAAACGGTATCCCCGATCACATGATGATGATAATGATGCTGTTAGAGAATTTATACTTTTAAGGGTCCCTCGTCTCGGGAGGCGTAGGTGTTGGTCATCGTTCCAGAATTGATTACACACTTCATCATCGTAGCTACAACTGTCTAGCTAGGATTTAGCATCCCGAAACAGGCACTTGGATGATGCGGATAATCACTTACCCCAGTCTTGACAATGTTGCATCAACGAGGCTACAAGACATGATAGGTTCAGGCATACCTATGTGACCAGCCAGCACTGGCGCTAAGCTGGCATTAATATGCATTTAATGGGGCTTTTCGGACCGATTATGCTGGATTGTGCAAGGCTGGAAGTTGTTTCGCAGTATCTTACGAAAAGTTACAGGCTTCAATCTCCATGGCCCGGGTTTGCTGGTCTTCGAAAGGTATACGTTGAGAATCATCTTTGATAAAGCTATATCTCACTTGTGACTGAGACACTAGTTGTTGTGAAGATACCATTGGCAAAGTTGCAGCACGGTCATAATGTTGTAGCTGTGTAAATTAGGTTTATTTCGTCATGAGACCCGTCATTACTCAAGAGTCATGAGATAATTCGTGAGGTGGCAGCGAAATTCCGCTCGATAGCCTACACGCGCATTTACTATCAAATGACTGATTCGAAGTTTTAGACAAGAGAAAGCTATTCTCAATTGTAAACAGCGCCACTGCGCGCCTGGAGTGGTCACATTGCTTAGTGATATTAACGTCCTGGTAGAGGCTTGCACAGAAAAAGCCTTTGATACCGTTTATCAAAGATTCTAGTCCGCTCCGCAATCGCGCTTAGAGGAGTGAGAAAGAGCAACTGGTTCCCTTACACCCTGCAAATACCACGCCTACCCCGGAAGGTTTTCCTACAGCCGCCATACTGGGTTTTCTGGTTGTTGCCTTAGGTAACGATACATGCCTGCTCCCTGTGAAGCCCTGGTATGCCGTTTCCCATTCTATCGAAAAAAGATTAGTCCTCGATATGGGCTAATGAAGCTGTGTTTGAGCCACTATCTGCGATTTCTTTGATCCCCATTTCGTGGCAAGGACGGAGGAGTGGGTTCGCCCTAGAGCCTTGTGTGGTGTATTAGCGGTAAGATACGGAGTCCTCTACAGGAGAGTCTTTGTGTTCGAATGCTGGGGGCAAGAAACTCCTGATTGAGGAAAAGGTAACAGATTGATATTTTGGGACGCCTCAATGGCGAACGGCGCTTCGGGCATGCAAAGAATGCACGGATAGGGATGAAATTAACGTTAAGTGAGACGGAGGGGAGTAGAAGCCTAAGCGATGATTTCTTGAAGCCCTTTCCGTTTACGTGTGTGGGAAATACATGCTAGAACGACGTTGCCAGGGCACCTGACTGGGAAGCAGAAAGGATTTACAGGCCACGCTGGCAGCTTTCCGCTTCTAACGTTACATGGATCACACAATCAAGTGGACAAGAGACGCCGTTCGCATCTAGAGTGTGGAATTACGGATATTGTTCGGCGCTTCTGTTTTCTTTCGTTCCGTCAAAGGGTCTAGACAGAAACCCTCGAATCACTCTAATGTTCTCGTCATCCCATTCTGCGCTTACCCACGGGCTGAGACGTATGTTTTCCGGGTGCTGCTGAGCTCAAAGCTAACCATTTCACGTCTCGAAGTCAAAAGGTTTAACCGGGCAACCCCATCTCTGGCCTGAACAGGCCTCAGTACAGTCCAGCCCATCCCAGGCTGCTTAAGCTATCATTAGAGGAATGCTGCCATCCAGCGCGACGAACTGCAGATGCCCATGGACGCGAACGGATAAAATAGCATGAAGCAAACCAACCATGGTACATTTAAAGAGTATTCTAGTTCCTGACGTATCCATGTAAACCTCGCCTTTCTCAAGACTTCTACTTGTTCTCTCATCGTCCCCTAGTCCTCGGCACCAATTGTGAGCAGGATGACGGCTCCATCAATTATCATGCCGGGTGGGAAGAAGTAAATGCGGAAAGTCCATGGCTGAGGCGGGCTGGGCTAGCCTGTTCCGCCCTTACTCTGCCAGTACCACTGCTAACTTTGTCTTTACCGCCTTAAGATTTTGGTGCGCCACAGTGACTATTATATGTGCATTACACGTTAGTCTATAATTTTGTTTGGAAATTTGATCTAGGTTTTCGTTGTGAGGACATAGAACGATTCACTATGTGTAGTATCTCTGTTCTATTTCCATTACACAGACTGCAAAGATCATGAGGTAGACTAAACTGTTGCAGAAAAGAAGGAAAATGGGACCATTATTAAAGTGAGTAAGCGAATGATAGGTCGGATCTGCAGAGAGACCGCATGAGGATCCGGAGTTGTCGGCGGGTCTCAAAGGAAATCATCCTCCAGTCCTGTAGGGAGCGAGTCATGTTCGAAAAACTTCAATAGTATGCGTGCGGGCAATGTCGAAAGGATCTTCGCTCAATATCAAAGCCGGGCCAACTTGTGAGGAAAGGCTGTGAATGGGAGGAAGGATGGACTTGCTCCCGATGAGCCATTTGTATCGATAGAGTTTCTCTACGTCGACTGAGTCCTTAGCAGCTGAGTATTCTATGGAGCGCGAGGACCCCGTAATCCTATATATTTTGAAATCATGGTAGTCGAAAGAAACCCCAAGCCTGAGCCTCGTCAACCTCTCCACTTGATTCTTCCATTTCTTTGACTTTTTCTCCTTTCACTCTCTTTCCTCTGATGCTTCAACTAAGAACTATCGTGCCACGCCACTCACTAGCATGAAACCTCTCTATCAATAATCCTACTCACACGTTGCAATCTCCACCCAGACACCCACACGTAAAGGGGGCCGGACGGGGGGCGGGATTTTGTCTCGATCTAGTTGATGTTGGCCAGTGAGGTGGCCGCTAATCCGCACCCCCCAGTCATGGCTAGGAGCTGGATTTTCGTTGACGTCTTTGCTCCCGCACACCCACCCAACAAGCCAAATTAACACGATACATCCCGTCGTTATCAATCATTACCTCCCACTTCCCCCTCAAACGTGGGAAAATCAAGGCAGTTGGACGAACTCTACAACAATTTTTTCTAAAGCTTGTGTCAGTGGGATGTGCCATTTATGAGGGTACTGCGACCAGAGGAGCGCGTAAACTCGAGGTTCGAGCTTCGCTCCAATATGCCTAGCAATGTCGGGCCAATTGCTAAGCCCAGGGCTAAAGTTACCCCATTACTGAGAAAATGGACTCAGAGCGATGAAAACACTTTGGATCTAGACCATCCGACCGAGTTACAAGATGTCCTGAAGATGTATGACTTTGGAAAAGGATCTCGAGCACCGCACGATGCTTGTATTTCGCCAACACGTCAAGTTTTTCACCATAGATCGACCAGCGGTACTTCTCAGTTTTCAACTACCACCGCTGGAAGTGGACAAAGGACCGGATCCTTCGTGCACCCTTTTCAGCAAACACCAAGACCCTACACTCCACCAATAATAGCTGCATATCAAGAGAGCTTATATCCATGTGAAAGAGCCAACACGGTAAACGATGATGAGATCGATCCCCAACAACGCAGCTTTCGATTGCCCATAAGTTACCCAGCTCGTCGTTCTCACTCACTTGCAGCGGCATCATCTTCTCCCTTGACGCAACAGCCTCCCATACAGAAAAAGCTGTCCTCCTCTCGCCTAGCTGTAGCTAGTTCGTATTCAAGCCTGCGAAATCAATCTAAGGCTACTGATCTTACAAGTACTAGCGACTCCCTCTCTTACTCATCCGGTTGCGCAACAGAACGAGGGTTTCGACTTCGCAGTCGCTCTGAAGTTATCAGTCGCAGCCGCGCTCAAAGCATACAAGAAGCACGTCGTAAATTTCAGGAAAAAGAATCAGTGAAAGAAGAGAAAGCTGCGAGGGAGGAAATAAAGCAATTAGAAAAGCGTCAACAAAAGGAAGCCATTAAGATGGATCGCTCCCACCGTCAATCTATCACCAGCGATGCCACCCGCTCAAAACGTTCCCGTTCCGACTTAACATCACCTGAAAAGGGAGAGGCCTTCATGGGACGAGCCGATGGAGAGATGTTGCCAGAACAATTATTCATATCCGAAGAGCCATTAGAATCGCAATGCAACTGCTCAAACGCTAAGCAGCGAACTCACTCGGCATGGGCGAAATTCCTCATGTGGTTTCGTATACGCCTCTTAAGAATCAGTCGTAAAGCCTCAAAACGCTAAGCAAAATAAGGGGAACTAGCAAGTATATGTTTTGCTATACACTTCAACAAAATCAAGGCAGCCAACACACGTTGGATGGCACTTTTCTCACAAAAATACATGTACTTGCAATCTTGCTTGCAGTTTACAACGCACCGCGATGAAATACACGAACAGGCGTTCGAGGATTAGGGGGTTTAGGAGGGAACAAACGGGCTGATGAATAACTTGGAGCAATGAGCGTGGCGTTAGGGTTAGGTTAAGTTTGGATACTTTATGATGGAATTTTAGCCTGCATGAGGTGGTTGGAAAGCACGGAGCGATGTTTCACGCGTTAGGCTTGGGGTTGGGGAGGCAGTAGTGAATACGGAGAACCCTGTGATATTGCGGCTTTTCCTTCGTGGGACCACATTGCAGATAAACTATAAATGAGAGTCATGCGTCGCGGGGCGATCTCTTGCATGGGTCTGAGTGAAAACAATTAGAACCTGTAAGATTGGACAGGAAGAATCGACTACGTCACTTGACTGTTCCAGGAAAGAGTACCGAAATCCGATTTTGAAAATGATCCACATCGTCTCGGCTACCGGCGTCTAAATGGTCAATTAGTATGCACCTTCGCCATAGAGCCTTGACAGAAATAAATGCTCCGGCAATTGTAAACGTGATGTCTACCAGCAGTTTAATCAAATCACACGACTTGATTATGCGTTGCTTCATCCAATCCTTCAGCCACCAATTCCAAAAAGTCTCATTCCTAACACCAAACTCTACGTAACCACGATGTTTCAGACGGTGCAAGACAAGGTCTCTCGTGTCTGTGGCAGGTCGAATACAACTCGCCCCCTAGCAAACTCAGCCCAACCTTCGCAATTAATTTCATGTGATGTGAGTACGCCGCTCATGATACCGAGAGGAGCGTGGAGCCTTGAATTTGTCTTTTAGAATAAGCTCTACCCAACAGCCCACGGACGAGAGAGAACTGGATTTCCCACGATTCCCGAGTGAAACTGACTATAGTAGCTACCCGAAACAGAATACCGCGGCACCTCTAAAAAATGCTAGATCAAGGCCCGTCCTTGCCCATAAATCCTAGCGCCATGAAAAAATTCATGATTAGTAGCTCGGAAAAACCACACGATCTAGGCCTAGAGAAATTCCGGCGCCAAGCCAGACTCTTATCCCAATCAACCGACCAACGTCATCACTGCCAAAAGTGGTAATGTGATATTGAAAAAATCTAGCAGCTCTACGAGATTTCATCTTGCAAAATATCTGAACTCGCATCTCTCAGACTCCGACGTTTTTACTGAGATATTCAAGGTCCGCACGGTCTCCTCCCGTCACTAACTGTAGTCAACACGATTATCAGCATTACAGCTTACCTCAAACCGTTTTACATTCCCAAACTTAAAATGGGGAGTATCGACCTCCAACGGTTGATCCAAGTAGATACCCGGGCCAAATCAGGGATGATTGACATGTTTATTTTCTAGTCTGCACTCCTGATGCCTTATTTTGTTCCGGGGATCGGCCATCAGAAAAGATAACCTTCAATTTGGCGTATGCTGCAATTGACGAGGTTCCGTACGTATTGCATACTTAATCTCTGCAAAATCTGAGCAGCTTTTAAGGGACGGCCTCGCTAATCACATAGAACAGATCCAGCATCCCTTGAAAATTCTTGATCTAAAATTGTGCTCATACATTTTCCAGGTATGGCACGACAGAAGAAGTTGAAGAAAGATGATACCTTGAATTCAGAAGATTTGGTACACAGGAAAACAAGCCCTCGGAAGTTTGATGGCATCATAGCGTAATGATATTTTAAATACTGGTAGAAAGATACCTCACCAAAGGACGTCACCCACATTAGAAATTAAATATTTTCATTGTTAAAAAGATGATAGCGGCGAACTATCTTGTCATAGAGGGTCAATTCAGGAAAATTCAGCTCTTCTCGTGGGACATGTAACGAATCGAACCAGCCTTTAGACTATTGATTACTATTTTTGCTCTTTCTGAGTCTAAGACTTTTTAGTTTATGTAGGTCTTCTTTACCTACAGGTTGAGGATACATATCCGGTTGTATATCCCCTCCTTCACCTCCCATACAGCTCCCCTCAAACAGGTCCTCACTCGATCATACACTAAGAGGAGCCCTTTGCCCTTCATTATCCCCCCTTCCAGCCAACAAAACGATGGCCATTTGCGGGTGTGTGGCAGCCAGGAATAATCGCAAAAACCACTGCGTTCGGAGCTCTTCTAATACCGACATAAGGAATAAATCCGAAGATATATTGCCACTTCCGAAGCGTTCGAAGAGGCCGGTCAGCTGGGAGCTGCAGACTTATGGGTACCTCGGGAAATTCACACTCTGCCTTTCTAGCCTCCTTCCAACTCCTTCCCAAAGGTCGTGCTGAAATTTCAGAAAAGTCTTGACAGAGCGTGATTGTTGTATGGTAGCTTAGCCTAACTTCTTTTGTGCCGTCCAGGGCGCTGAGGAGTGCCGTTGACTCATTGACAGAAGAAGCCCTCCTGGCTAATTAGCCGAAATCTCGTTCTTGGCGCCTACCAACTTCCCTGTGTCGAAAAAAGCTCAAGAACTGTGTCTCAGTGTCCTTCGAGAGATATTCTCCCCTTCTCGTCCTATGTCCTGGTAGCCTTTCCTTTCTCAGGTTGTAGAACAATATTAGAGCAAAGGACTCCCATGAACCAAAACAAAAGCTTTGTATATCAAAACTTAATCTCATCCTTGCGGGTATACTTAGCAATGTAATTTGACAGTGCGAGATGGCCGGTGATTGAGAAGGCAAGCTCCTGTTTCCAATTGGAGCAACTCCTATATCGATATTTAAGACGAGATTAAATGTGGTTAGAAAGAAGTTGAGGACTCGAATGAGTATGATAAGGCCAATACTACTGAGAAGTCGTCAAATATAGATACGGTCATGTTTGCTTTGACTTGGATTCGGATGTGAACCTTCTTGGCTATCTCAGGTATGTGGAACATACTTAGAGGTTATACCTGTACCACCGGAAAGCGAATAATTATTTTTTGCCGGCTTTGACGACTGTTGTTGCACCTTGTTTGGATGCTCCTGTGCAAAGTATACGTCTACATCTGGGTCAAATCGCTCTAGCTTGGCTAACGGCTTTCCCCTCTTTTCCTACTTCCCCACTTCGAATCAGGTGATGTAAAACCACATATTTCCATGGCTGCGGACGGGGAAACTGTTCAGGAAGAGGGAGAGAGATGTGTGTTAATTTTACTACTTGAACAGGACTATCTAGCATCTTGAGCACCTCTCTGGCCCAGGCCACACATTGTTCAGTGTTCCTTGCCTCTTATGTTGCTTAAAAGATTATTTATAACTGTTGAATATGACATATCTTGGAATGCCAAGAATAACAAATTAGAATGTCTGACTAATCAGATTAGTCAGTTCCCCCTCCTATATAGTAATACTTGCATGTCCCATATAGCTATAGACTCAGAAAGGACAATAAAACGAATTAATAAAACATAATAATAACAATAACATACTGGTGGCCGCGTTCTAGGAGTGGAAAAACTCATGGACACGTCCAGGGAACGAGATACTATCTGGTCATCGAGCTTCGGCAGACCCTGAACAATGGAAAGCCGCAAATATTATTACAGATAAGACAATAGGCAGAAAAAGGATAACATATAGAAACACACCCTCAGATATCCACCTGAACCCTAGCAGGGCCCAAAGCAGTATTGCAGTTCAGATAAGAATTGAGCACATTGGTCTCAATTCTTATCTGTATCGAAGGAAAGTCCCCGGAGTGATTAATCCAAAATGTCAGTGTGGATATCCGGCTCAGAATGTCAAACATATGGTCTTGGCGTATCCTCAGTGGGCAATGGGAAGAGGAGAAGTGCTTCGAAAGGCAAAAGACAGGTCATTTGCGGCAATGATGAACAGCCCAGATGATATAGAGAGAATCAAAAAATGGATCCTGGCAAAAGGCTAGTTTGAACCATTCCGGCTAGTAGGAGAAGTGGAAATAGCATTGGACGAAAAGATGAGACGATGTGGACAAGGATAAGACGGAATTCACACTGTATAAACAGTGTAAACGCACTTCCTGTAGGAAACCTCAGAAAACCAATAGGCACGAGACAAACAGTTTTGGGGTGTTTTTACTGAATTTGGTTTCCTCCTGTTTAAATGTTACAGCTAAATGTACCTGCATGGGCCCATAGGGTACCTGAACGGGCTAAATGAAAGCAAATCAAATACTCCGCATTAAGAGTTTAATGCACAATGTTATTTATCTCATACTAGCATTCCAGTAGATAATTGTATTGAAAATTTATGTCACATCATACTTAGACCTATCACTCTCCACACATATATTCAGCGTTATATACCTGGCCTATATATCTGTTCTATGTAGATCTACACCTACACGGATCATGACTAATGATCCATGGAGATTCATAAATACTGGACAAAACCAAAGTCGATAATAATGTGCTCACACAATCTAAACTTTAATCTTGTCAGCAAAGACGAATTCTTCAGCTTCCAGTGGTGCCGGTGAAATCGCTCAGTATGCTCCGCATATTTGGGATAGCCAAGAAGAATCGCAACCAAATCGAAGTCGAAAGCACTCGCAAGCACATCTAATTCGACGACTTCTCGTCAATGTCGGATCTATCATTCTCACGCGAGTCCTCCACCTCAATCTTTCCACACCACCTCGCCTCAAATACCCATAATGGCGTTACTCCAATTGCAATCGGGCATTTGACTCATAAAAAAACTGGCCATCTCCCACTACACATTTACGACGCTATGTATACCCACGAAGAGGAATTTAGGTCATAATCTACAAAGCTCAGTTTTTGGTCTATGGGGGTCCGTTGCTCTAATGGTGTTTCATATCTTGAGGAAGGACAGGCAGCTGGAACGTGGGACGAACGAGTGAAGAGGTCACAAATGGGCATGCTGGGACGCACATTTTTTGAGTGTCTTCGACTTAAGGTTGTCTGTGGGCGCCGAGGCAACGATTTAGGATGGTGCTACCGACACTATAAAAACAGGCAATGATGGCAGGTGGTTTGGTCCGCCTTCTAGTCGTCACCTCCCCGAATTAAAGTCTGGGTAGCCTGGACACCTACCACACTCAAGAAAGGGAGGACTATGAGGCCATGTCTCGCGCGGCGGCTATATACAAGATGGCAAAGGCATGTTAGGGTAGGCAGAGGTTTTCCTGTTTTCCCTTTGGTGGATATTAACGGTTGAGGGAAGGGTGAAAGTCCCTAGGACAAAGGTCTCGAGTGGCATCAGTATATACACCCACTACATGAGTAGTCCAAGTGTCAAACTGAGTTATTGTTGTATATAGTCGTCGGAGAAGCTAGTACTCTCCGTGTCATGCTCTTTGAGTGCAGGGCTTGTGCCCGTTACGAATAAATTTTCACCTTCATCTTCCTTCAATACTATATCGGTCTGACCGTCGACAGCGATTCTGCTCTCACTTCCATCCTAGCTCAAGCCCAAAACTTTAACAGAAATGTCGTAAAATAACTTATATTGCCAATCGAAGAAATCGGATGTATGTAATAAAAAGAGCTCTTTATCAATGCCAAATTAAGAACAATAATTAGTCGCTAAAATTTGGGACTACTAAGTAGTAATTACATTTTTATGAAACCAGCGATGTGTTAGTTTGGTAAATAAAAAGATAGAGAGTATTGTTCACGAAGCCAAAAGTTGAAAATAGTTCTTGAATTTTGTTATAATCGCGGTGCTAAGAACACACGGCCCCTTGCCCTCAGTTTTTTTTTTTTTTTTGCATCAGATTTTAATTGCGTATGCAGCTATCTAGCTATGACACAATATCAAAGAAAAGTACAGAATAGATGATTCAACGTAAAGGAAGAGCACTCATGCCTCAGATTTCATTTGCAGGTACCATTGCGAAGTTATGGTGGCTTTTTCTTCACCCCAAGTCAACCCTCATCCGTGAATACCCACCCAGGGTAACGTCTCAAAAACCCTGAGTTATCCAGACATGCCTTCATCATCTTTCAACTTTTCTCCGCGCGGTATGTGATCTGAGGTGTCTCTTTCCCAAGTGGAGTAGGTGCCCAGGCTACTCAAACCATACCAGAGAACACCACCAGGAGGCGGACCACGACACCTTCCATCGTTGGCTTGTTTTTGTAGTGTCAGCTGCATTCTCACAAGCGAAGTCTTGGCGCGCACAAAGCTCAATTCGTAAAACTACTTGCCAACATTCGGGATTTCACTCCCTTCAAGGTTATATCCTTCCTTTGCATCATCTTGTAAACTTGTCCTGATCCCTCTCACGTCCATCCCAAAGAACTGTCTCCCAGATTTGTGCGCCACGCTTTGCTTCCTCCGTCGGGTGTAAATATCGGCGTGGGCGTGTATCTGGCGACCAGCTAAGGCCAGAGAAAGTCGACAAGAGGTGTGGTCATTGGGATGAGGATATACTAGGTCGTACTTGTAAACTTGATGAGGTTTAGGTAGGAATCGATTTCGTTGGGAGTGAAAGATTGATATGGTGGAGTAATTTGAATCATTGCCTCGTGGGCCAACTTGTTCGGTATTGCGAAGTTTGACTGAACTTGGCTCTGGGAGAATATTTCACTCCCAGGTTCGTAGAGGACACCGCGTACAGGTGTTCAGTCTTGCCCTCCAGTGTACCATAGTTGTAGACAGTATAAAAAACAACATCTTTATCCCAACGTACATTGTTATCTGATCAGATACCGAGGCACAGCCTATCCAACATCAGAGGAAAGCTATGAAAGATGTTGTTGGGTGTGTATCATGGGCTACCATCAATCTCAAGGAAGAAGATTCTATAGACACAAAATTTTCAGAAAAGCTGTGTGCAAAGTTCGGAAGAATATCTGCCGAGCCGAAGTAGATTAAGATGTATTATAATTTAGGCGAGGGCGTGGCTTAATACAGTTGACAAATTGTACTTTAACCTAGCTTTTTTCTCTGCAAGTTATCGCGGATCTCATGCTTTGTAGCTTTATGATAGTCTCTTAAAGACAGCCATGTTTCACCTTTGATTAATATATCTTGACGAGATCTGTAGCCAAAGTAGCCTTTTTATCAGGGATTGACTCTGATTTATGCCTCTAAGGATTTGCCAGTCACGTCAACAATAGCTAAGAAAGTAGGAGAATAGCTAGTACTGTTTGGCCATCTATTCTAATTGCTCATGGCTTGATCAGGAACTTATTGCAAACTCCGTGATAAAGTAGCTGAAGATACGGCGTAGAATACTATCTGAAGGATATCATCATATTTTTCGATCTTCCCGTTTGTTTGTGGTCGGTGAGGCATCGTGATATTTTGATTTACACTATTGTTTTTCCAGAAAGATGCTGACACTTAATGATAAAATATTACCTGTTATCTGTAATTAATTATTTCGAGTCGAAGATTATATATTTGTTCATGTTCTTCTATCCTGATCTCCCCCAAATTCATTTCGGAGAACTGCCTCGTGTGATTGTACGCAACTATTTGTTTCTTCCGGGGGATGTTAATGTCGACATGGGAATATTTTCGGAGGCCACCTAGGGTCAAAGATTAAGTTGATGCGAGGTGTGTTCATTATAATAAGCCGTCTTTGGATCGTATTTAAAAGCTTGCTGAGGCTTTGGTGGGAATCGATCTTGCGTGGAGTAGTATATCGATTTGATGGAGAATCTTGAATCATTGTCTCTTGAGCCACCTTCTGTGGGTTTGAGAAATGACTAAACCCGACTCTGAAGGATTTTTCACTCCTTCATTCGTATAAATGAATAAGGACATGTGTTGATTTTTCGCCCCTATAACCGTGGGTAGCATGTGTTGGGATAGAAGGAGGGCTTCTCTAACAGCCGCTGTGGCACTTCGAACTCCAATATTTGTTCATTTATAGCGTTATTTTCGTCTTTGTAATCGTGGTAAATAATGTAGAAAGCACACCTTTGAAAGAAGAGAAAATAATTTAGCTAAAAGTTGGAGAGTGAGCTATAGTATCCATCACCATTAAATTATGCGGGGTTTTTCCTATTACTATTTGTCGGGCATATATGAGGCTGTAGCCTTGACCTCCTTCTTCACATCTGCCTAATTTCACAAAAGCTCGTAGCAGAGCAACAAAGAGACTTAAAGCTAGATAATCAGAGCCGTTTATGGCCAAACGCGGCTCATAGTATTGCCTCAAAATCACATACGACGTGGGTGATTCATGGTCAATCTCACTACCCAGCACAGCGACGCCGTTAGGACTCAAGGAACACTCATCTAATACTCAAAGATGACAGAAACAAACAATGATGGCGCTGCAGCCACTGAGGATCTCTCGCCGGCTGCTGCCAATTCCAGCGCCGCGCCGAAAGCCGCAAATCCCATTGTGACCAATCCAACCGTTCCTCTCACATCGCATCAAGATTCTGGGCAAGGAAAACGACCGCGCGACGCGCGCCTCATTCATTTACTGCTCTCCTCCATGGGATGTACGGCTTATCAAGAACGGGTGCCGTTGCAACTCCTCGATTTCGCATACCGCCACTCCTCGTCCATCCTCTCAGACGCCCTTCATCTCTCGTCTGATGCCTACATTTCACAACAAACTCGCGCACGCGATGCACCTGTCGGTGGACACATGAGAGATGATGGTCAGGTCAGCGCCAACGCCGTACAGCTGGCCATACAAAGTCGATTACAATATCAGTTCGGTGGGGGAAATGGCGCCAGTGGTTTGAGCAAAGAGTTCTTACTAGAGCTAGCACAGGCTCGTAATCGCGTGGCCTTACCTCGGGTATTGCAAAATGAGTGGGGCGTGCGGCTACCAAGTGAGAGATTCGTGTTGACGGGTGTGCCATGGGGACTGAGGGGGGACTGGGTGCTCGAGGAAGAAGAGACAAGTACAAACAACGCTGGCCCTGATAACAATGAGGCAATGGAGGGTGTCGAGATTAAAGATGAAAACATTGAGGAAGGAAATGAAGAAGGAGGAACCATGGATGATTTATTTGGCGCTACCACTGACATTGACGTAGATATGGACAAGGAAGAATGATGGCTTCCTCGACTTTACCTCAATTTTAGGAAGCCTAGGTATCAAGGATATCTCAGAATTCTTAAGTCTCGTCAAAGAATTTTCGGACGAATTAGGCCTCACCAATGCATGAATCAACTTCCCGCTAGCTCAGACTCTTTATTCACAAACGAGCAACGCAATTATCTATGGAGTAAAGGTTCTTTCATGCTGGAGAACCTTATCTTTACTTAGCATAGAGGCTCTCTGGAATTTTCCAACATAAATACCCGCTCGGCCTCAATGCCCTTCAAGCCAAAACCCTTTTTTTCAGCATCAGCTCGATTCTTCATGGTCAGACCTTTCGGAAACCTTGATTACGACAATTTCCACAAATCGAATTTTGTTGAAGTATCAGTCACTGAGCCTCAGAATACATGTGACTTGATTTGTAAGCTGGGCTAAACTAGGGTCTATAGAATGTATAGTAAATGTAGAACTTAGTAGATAGTACACTAATATACGCAATAAGCTTTAGGCATTTACCAGCAGTACAGTTTTCTAACCATATCTTCCTTCAACAAATTTTATATATTTAGATTCTATCGTGACCATATTTTGTGTCTTCTTGTTCTTGATCCATATAGGACGAACCTGTAAATATTTTTAAATAACACAGGAAATTCCAGCATCGTGCAAACTTGCTATACGCCGCGTCCTTTGGCGCCTCCCGAATAAATTTTCTTTCTCACATCATCACCTCAGTACAGATAGTCGAAAGACGTTTAGGGCTGAGTGGGCTTTCCTAAGCATCATTCTAAATATATTCTCAGGCCAGTCGCCCTCTGACAGTGAAGTGTGCGTAACAAGCCGCTCCCTCCTCGATCCACAAAACTTCATTCGCACTGAAGCTTATCGTCAAATTAATATATAGCTATATCGCACTGGAACTTCAGTTTTAATCAATAGACAGATGAGTGAACGACCTAAGGATGACATATAATGTAAATAGATTCAAAAATATCGGTATTAAATTCGATAGGCTCTATTATTAGCTTCTATAATCATTAAGCATATCAAGTGAAATAAGCATTTATATATTTAATCTATTTATATCACATCTGGTGCTCAGGCATCCATCTACTTCTATATTTATTAATATTTAAGCTCAAGTTTATTGCTATTTCTAGTAATTTAATCAGCTATGAAAGGTAGATATGATCAGAAACTGTTCTGTGGAAAATTTCTATATTTTTCGTTATATCCTTTTTGTACTAAATATGAAGTCCTGCATTTACAGTAAAATTCATAGACCACAGTTCATACCTTTATACAAATCAAGTCTCATACATTCTAGGGATAAGTGGCTGATACTTTAACGTACGTTGATAGCACCAGGAGGGCAAAGTCCTTATAGACAGCGTCTCTCACATAAGATACCAGACAAAATAGGAATTTGCTGGATCCCCGGACAATCTAGCATCCAAAGAAGCCATGCTCATACTTCCGACGCCTTCCTGTCATTTCACTCGCAGCAGCGAAACCTGGATCAAGAAAACAACCTACTTAGCCTTGGATGAGTTTTGGGAGAATTATGCTCTACAATTATATCGAGACCCCGACATTGGAATCTTATCAAGCCATCCTGACAAGCCAACATTACCTAGGCCCCTCCTGGCCAATATATGCTGCGCCAGTTTAGGCCTCGGCGGTTTCGCCTCACACTACGAGCGAATCAACTGCGAAAATACGTACATCTACTGCAACTGTGGCGAATACAGGTCTACAAGAAGTTTTATGAGTTGCAAACTACCAACTCCATGATTTCCCAGGTCGCCCACGAAATAAATAGACATCTAAGATATTGTCCCTGTACATTTCAAGTGGCCTGCAGACTTGCTGAATTGATGGAAGATATCAAGTTCATTACTAGTATCTGCTCCAGATCTCTGCCCAATGACAGTCAATCATCTTCACGAACATGCTCTGTAGTAATAGCCGTACAAATAGTTATCTCAATTGGGCGGTGAATAGAGGCATAATACTGGCTAGCGTCTTGGCAGAGACGGCTACTGAATAGTAACGTAATCTGAACCCAAGGAGAAAATAGAAGCACACTTACTGAACCCACATCCGCTTTACAAAGTGAATTACCCCTGTGAAACCTACATGCTCGAAATCTCTCCATCCTGCTATCAAAATATGAATGGAGAGAACAAGTGATAGACTATGGAGAAATTGTTTGATCTGATTTTAATTATTCTGTCTTGACGATTACTAGGCAGCTTATATACATCTATTCTCAGTAATCTACAAAAAATTTCTGTGTCCTCAACGCAATCAGACATCTAAACAATATAATACCACAAGGCATATGTTGTAAATATTTATTTACAATATGTAAGCAGACCTATGTTAGTCTGGGTTTTCGCGCCAGTCCAAAAGCGAAAGTAAGATCTACGCGCACAGATGTTTGGCTACTGGCAATACTCAAGGGAGCGCACAAGGGGATACTCACACAATATAGTCCTAGGCTCGACTCGTGGTAGTAGATAATTCTATACCTTTACTCTTACATTCTTGACGATTCACGTGACATTTACACGAAGCCCCTCTAAGTTTTACATGGTAGCATTATTCTTGGTTGTTCAGCAAAAATTCGACGATTGAAGTTTCATCAGCAACTTTGGTATATCGTGGACGGATTGTTTGTGACGATTGTTTAGAAGGGAATTTGATATCTGTGTAAATGTCGTCCTTCGGATTATCGAAGGTGGATCGGGAAATCGCTGCCCAGGGCACCGATTTGAATCAGACTGCTGTAGAAAAGAAGCAGTCGGGGAAAAATATTGCTGGTCGTTCAGGTCGAGTGCCGGGTAACTTCAGCAATGAGTTCGACTTCATATCGAGCGGAAGCACGAGTGAAAATCTGAGGTCTGGATCAAGAGGAAAAGATTCAGACAAACGATCCTTCGAACAAAAGGATCGGGATGATGACGAATGGTGCAAGAAGCACTCAGAAGAAGCTACATCTTCAAGTAGGTCGGAAAGAGATGGTGATCGCAGAGATGCACCGAATGACGACGAAGATTTAGGGGCAGGATGGGACAGGCCCGCTAGAACGGCCCCAAAGAACGGGAGCAAAACCTTGCTCGAGTGGAACCTTTTCGATTGGAAACCACCTCAGTCAGCCTTTCTGAGAGGAATCAAAAATTGGTCCATGTACCGAGAGGCTGTGTTACTACAGCTAGAGTGTATTGGATACGAAGCAGGGATGAAGTTAACGCCACTAGACGAAGTGAGACTTGCTGCTGTCATCCAGCGAACTACAACGGAGGAGACAGGAAGTCTAGTCGTAGGGATGAAACGAGGCACAGAGATGATGAGGTTGTTCGAACGAACCTATCGTCAGGTTGGTGAAGTCCAACAGGAGGCCGTTTGGGGAACTCTTATCGCCCTCAAGTATGAAGGAGGATACCCTGTGGAGTACGTGACAAAGTTTAAGACACGTGTTAGGGACTACATTTCCACAGGTGGGACTCTAGCAGAGAGACAAATCTCCATTATCTTCAAGCAATCGACGAAGGATAAAGCTGGGAGGTGGAATTCAATGGTCTCCACCATCGCTCGTTTTCAAAGCTGGTCAGCAGAAAATCTTATTCAAGATTTTATATCTCACCACTACGACAGGATCGGAGAATCGGGCAAAGAAGAGAGGCTCAGGAAATCTCAGCCGGTGAAGAAATACTTGAACAACGCCCAAGGTGAACAGAATACAAGTGACCAAGGAAAGTCGAGAATAAAGGGAAAAGGCAACAACCCTAAGAAAAAGTTTGCCATCCGTTGCTATAACTGCAAGAAAGAAGGACACATTGCCAAGAACTGTCCTGAGAAAAAAGAAAAGGAGGCACAAAACTCTCATGCCGCACACAAAACATTGTCGATCGACATAGGCCCACCGGCTGCAATAGCTAACGAATATTGCCAAATTTCCGAAGAATTCTCTGGGAATAGCTACGCTGCTCAAGTAGACCCACAGGTTTACGAAAACATGGTCGATTTCTACGAGAATGAAATGGCGCGTCGTCGTGGCGAGCCAGTAGATGATAAAAAGTTGCTCGAGTCGCAATCCCCAGGAGCTTCCATCAACTTCACACAGCAAATTCTAAGCGCATCTGGAGGAAGTGGAGTTGCAAGCCGCTGGCTATTTGATACGGGTGCCGATGTAGATGCCACAAACTGTCGGAGAAACTTCAAGCCAGGCACAGTTGTAGAGCTAAAGCCTAACCAATTCCCAATTCAGACTGGAGGTGGAATTGTATGCGCGGAATGCATCGGAGAAATTTGGCTATCACTCACCGGGCCTGGCGGCAACCAAACTTCAATGAGGTTGAAGTACGTGGTATACTTGAAGGTATTCCCACTAAATATCATCAGTGGAGAACGACTCTACCGAAGTGGTGGTTACCTGGATAAAAATAAGATAGTGAGCCCTAATGGCGAAGTCCTGTCTTATATAAACGCGGAACGTCGAGGATTTTTCTTGTGGTTGTTTAACCATCCAGAACCGTTAAAGTTGACAGGCTACAAAAAAGCAGTGAACCTCACCTCGGTGGATAGTATTCATCAAAGTGAAAAAGAAACCTCCGAACGAGACCCTGAGGTAAAGGAATTTACAGAGGCCTATCAAGATTGTTGGAAGAGTGGTGTTTTCAACATGACCAATGACGTGATGAAACGCCTGATCCTATGGCATAGGCGCTTATGCCACCCCAGCGCTGAACGACTCAAATGGACGATTAAAAATACAGTTGGTATCGACCTACTGCCATCACAAGTTGAAAATTTGCCATGCGAAGCGTGCGACATGGGCAAATCAATAAAATATAAAACATGCGATAGACGACCTAGAATGAGAAACGTCGGTGAAGGTTGGCATTGCGATGTAGGAACCTTAAATCCGGTCACAATGGAGGGCTACGGATACTTCTGCCTCACGACAGATGACGTTTCGAGGTACAGAATATTCCGGGCCTTGAAAA